GTGTAGAGTTAGTGTAAGTTTGGTGTAAGAGAGGTCAAGAATGAAGGTAACTGACACACAAATTTTGCTTTCTGAAATTCTCTCTATTGAAAGCTATTCACTGATTAAAATTCCAGTCCTTCAAACCATCTTGAGACTTTGCACATAATTGCCATGTGTCATCTCTGTTGAACATTTGAATTGAAAGCTCCAGGTAGAAGTGGTTCCCTGCCTCATGATGAGCCTGGCTCTTCCCCCCACCCTCTTCAACCTCCTCCAAGGCTTAGAGTGAGGCATCTCCTGCTTCAGGAGCGATGGGAGCTGTTGGAGATGTCCCAGCCTGGAGTGTCAGCAATCCCCCAGTTCCCTGAGAGCTGGGTGAGTAACATCCAACTGAGATAGTGGAAACTCAGAGGCAAGAGGAGTTGCCTCACTTGCATGTCCTGAGGGTTGCCCCGCTTGCATGTCCTCCATATGCATTTTTAGTCTCTACCCCTTGTTTCATGTAGAGATGTTCCATTATTAAGGAGTAAGAAATTATCCATCTGCTGCACTATTTCTTTTTGTTTTTTGACAATGGACACCTGATGGGGTGCTGTGGTGCCTGGTTACACGGTGCATTTGGAGAGCGAGGGAAGGCCTGTGAAGGTTGAGACTTGAGTTACAGAAGGAATTTTTACACCCCCCAAATCTATTTCTTAAAAAAAGGCATATCTTTGGCTTTTTCATCAAAGAATTTGACAATAAATGAAAATTTGCAGATTCCTGTAACATTTATAGTTCAAGTTCTCGTGTCCCTCGTCTTCTGTGTTTGGAGGACCTGGTTGTACAGCTCTTTTTCTGAGATGCTGAACTTCTTGATGCTGAAAGAAGTCTCGGTGTTCTGGGGAGCAGGAAGGTACTGGGCACGCGCTGTGCTTTTCGTGAGGCCACAGTAGCCTTGGTGCTTCGGTTTCTTCATTCTCCTGGAAAAACTCTGATTCAATTAATTAAAAAACCATTTCCACTTACCCGTGTGCTGATGGTTGTTTGTAGGACAGTGGGGCTGTGTAAGGAGGCCTCGAATTTGTGAACTGATTTGGAAGAGTTTCTTTTATTTTTGAATACTGCCGTGGTGACCTGGTTAATTGGGAGTAATTAATGCCTAAATATATTGGTTTAACATAACAAAAGGCTGTCTGGAAAAAAACAGGGAAGGGAAAGAAGGGCTCAGGATGAGCCACCTCTTTGCTAACACTTAAGAGTTGTTAAGGGACATCTCCAGAGCTATTAGCAGAGAAGGTTTTTAACTTGACTATTGTAATTTAGCTCCTGAGGCTTGAAACGAAGCAGCAGAGCAAAAGAACTGATCCGAAAAGGAACACTGGTGTTGTGTGGGAAAAGTGCTTGACACCTAAGAGTCATGGGATGCCCTTGGAGAGGAAGAAGTAGAGGTAGAGTGAATTTGGGTGATGTTGTGGAGCTCTAACCTGTATTTGCTGCCTCCTCCCCTCTCTCTCTTTGGAATCTCACTCTTAGGACTAAAATTGAGCGTGGTGCTGATTCCTGGGCTCACCTGCTCACTGGGGTGACTTGTGGCTGGAGGCTTTACCCAGGAGTTAGGCCCTGGATCCTGTCAGACCTGCTCTGTAAGTGTGGCAGGGCTGCACACTGCCGTGGCCTGGGACTGCTCTAAAAATGGAAAAATTGCTTAATTTCGGGAACGCAAGGAGGGCCTGGGACCTGGAGGGCCCTGTTAAGAAAGAGCTGCGTGGCCACCCCTGTAATTAGAAGAGCTCAGTCGTGTCAATTAAACTGGCTGCATTTGCAGAGTTGTTTGGTTTGTAATAGTAATTTATCTCCTTTGGCAGAGAGCAGAGGGGGAGTAAGTAGTGTGGTGAGTTTACTCCACTGAGGAGGAGTAACATCAAGCAGGCAGGGCTGTGTGAGCAGAAGCCTTTAGCTGATAACCCATCCTGCTGAGGGCTGACTGCTCCTGCCTGGCCCTGCAGTGTCTGCAGTTGAGACTGTGCAGTTACAGCTGGGCACGAGGGTAAATTAAAATAAAAATTACATATATTTTAAAGAACAGACAAGTTTCAGGGCCTTAAGTGTGTTTGCCCTTAAGCCATCTCTGTCATTAGGGTCGCATTGGTTGTGAGCTCCACTGATGCCGTGCAGGGTGTGCTGCTGGGGCTCTGCTGCCTGCACAGAACCAGGCTGCACAATTCACCTCTGCAAATGGCATTTTCCCCAGGGCACTGCCCTCCAGCTGATCTTGGGGGCTTGGGGCAGGGGAGGAGGGGGAGCACTGTCTCTGGGGAGCAGTGGGGCAGAGCTGGCAGCGTTGTGTGAGCGGGGAACCGACCGAGGTGTGAGCTGGGGGCACCTCTGGCACAGAGCTCCATCCCTATCTCCCGGGGCTGTCTGTGTCAACCAACGTGAACTCAAGGCAGATTTGCTTTGTCATCCTGACTTTGGCTTTTGCCACTGTGAGTTTCTCTTCAGTTTCTGGAAGCTTCTTTGCAGTTCTCTAGTGGGGAGTCCAAGAGACATCAGAACGCACAGAACGGCTCACCCTAAACAGCCCCCACCTCACAGATCACACGGTGGCAGTGGGGAGGTGGGTTTGGGCATATCTGATCACAAATGGTGGCAAATCTGTTTTTCAGCATGTGTTGTTCTTTAGTTAGTTTTTAACTCGATGCTGCAGAGGAGTGTTGTTGTTTCCCAATGGCAAAGAGCACTGAAATATGACCCCGGGAGAGGAGCGCTGGCCCCGGGCCTGTGTGCACAAATAGCCCACTACCTTCTGAAGCCTGTTTGCAGCCAAGCAAACAAACACACTGAGGCTGCCTCACACAGGAGAAATCTACCCCTCAGAGATTTCTTTTTTTCCTCTCAATGTCAATAGAACCTTAGTACAACTGATTCCAGAATCATCACTCACAAGATGTTGTGGTATGTCTGAAACTGTAGTTATGTAGTACTGGATTAGGAAGTGAAAGAGCTGCGTTGCTGTCTTTTGTAGCTCCTACAATACCTTTTGCCTTGGATTGCTGTACTACAGGAAGAAATCCTAGTGCAAACTAAGCTGCAGCTCATGGTGTTAGCTGGGTGAGCGAGCAGGAGTCTCTTGGCACAGCCCTGGTGTGAGTTATGTAAATCTTGTGCAGTGTATAAGCAACAGGCGGTTGGTGACGTAAAACTGAGCATTTGTCTCTGTTTACTGGCTGATGTGACATGGCCCCTTCCTGCAGCATTTGACTGAGCTGGCGGGATTAAATAGAGCCCTGACACTCCTAAGTAGAAAACGCCTCAGGCTGAATAATGGTTTCTGTCTGGAATTCAGGGTTCTGGCCGTGGCAGTGGGACCTGGTGGCTCTTGGGTCAGACCAAAGTCCACTCTGGGTGGTGAAGGTCTGGCTGTGGGGCTGGGGCTGCTGAATTGCTGATTGATCCCTGGGCCGTGTTGTGCAGGACGTTCCTCCAGTGCCTCCTTAGCGGGATGTCAGGAACTCCAGTGTCTCACACAGCACTTGTCTGCTGGCACTGGGATGGATTGGTTGCCAAACTATGGGGCTCTTTGGGTGCCCCCACCAAGGCTCTGCCCTTCTGACCCCAGCTCCAATGCAATCAGCTGCTGCACTTGAGCTCCCCTGAGTTTTCTGGGAGGAGAAAGCAGTGACACTGCTCCCATGCAGTTGGGATTTTATCCGGAGCGTCCAATTTGAATGTTTTTCCCATGAACAGTGTAGGAATTGAACAGGAGGCAGTTTGCTTCCCTCACCGTTTGAAGCCTCTTTCCAGCTGGCAAGCAGCCCCACAAGCCCTGTGTTTGCTCTTGCTCAGGGTCATGCTGCAAATGTTTCTCTTGCTTTCACCTTGGCTCTCTGGCTCTGGCTCGGACACATGATGCTCCACCACAGTACAGACCCTCAATATGTCACTGTGCCCACACAGTGCAGCTTCTGCAGGGCTTTGGTTTAGGTGGTGGTTCTCAGTTCCTGAAGGTTTGGGGTTTTTTTTTTCTATCCCGCTCAAAAAAGCAACACAGATTTCTGTAATCATGAATAAAAAGCAGTTGTTATGCCCATTGCATTTGGGGAGATTTTACTCATCTCCATTCTCACAGCACCCACTCACAACATGTAAATTAGGGCCACAACCTCTCAGACATGCATAAACAGAGGAATTACATGACTTGCCAAACACTTACGTAATAACTTAATAGTATATCGTGGAACTGAGCTAAGGCTCATGAATCCTCTTCCTGCCTGACTGTTCCTCTTCTCACATTAATTATCATGAGCTGCAGCTACACCACAGCTCAGGAATCAATAACATTTGTGGCTTTTTGAATGTCCTTAATATATCACAGGCTTGCACTGTCATTTGTCTTTATTCAGTGGGAACTTTTGACTCAGGTGGTTTATAAGTTCCTGTGAGTTGTGACTATCCAGAGCTGAGCAGGCACTTTAATGATGAGTAAATAGTTCCTACCTGATGGTATGTTTCAAAAGCAGCAGGGCTGGAGTTATTATCTGTAGCTACCAGTGCCCTTTGGCCTTGAGAGTTATCAGAAGAGCATTCCTTGTGTTCTGTTCCTCTTGTGCTCCTTTTGGACCTTCTGTACCAAAATAAAGTGGAGATGTTTGGCCCTCTGGAAATTAGCTCAGGAAACACGGCTGGTGGGAAGAAACTGCCCTGTGTTTGCCTCCACAGCTCTCCTCTCAGTTCAGCAAGCTTCAAAAAGAGCTTATGGGGTAGAGGTCTCCAAGATTTCCACTGAAAATAGAAGCAGAGTAGAAAAGTGGTCTAACCCAGTATCCCTAGCAAGGAAGAATGCTGTATTTTGAGCTCTGTTATCTTGGACTATGGAATCCTTATGTGGTAGAGATCAAAGGTTCAAAAAACACATGAGCAGCAGAGCTGTTATAGTCTGGGTATTTTTGCTGAACTGTTCAGGATGACACGTGCACCTGTGCAAAGGGCCTGACCCACCTGTACTGCAGGTTGTAATGTGCTTTTTTCCCTTTTAGGAATCTACAAGCTGCCATCGGAGCCTACTATGATTTCGAGAGTCCAAATATCAATGTCCCCTCGATGTCCTTTGTGGAAGATGTCACCATAGGTGAAGGGGAGTCCATCCCTCCCGATACCCAGTTTACAAAGACGTGGAGGATACAGAACACAGGTGAGGGTTGGGCTGCAGCAAACCCTGTGCAGCCAGGGGGATGCTGGCCCAGGGCAGGGGGCTCGTGTGCCCTCCCCTGGGCTGAGGGAGGTGCTGCCAACCTCTGCAATTCCTCCTCTTGGGTTGGCACAAACGCTTTGTGGCGGGATGTGCAGCTCGGTCAGGCCATCAGTCTGGTTCCTCGTGCCACCACACAAACACGCTCTAGGAAACCTGCAGGCAAACGAGGCAGTGACACAGGGTCATGTGGCAGCTCTCCTTTGCTTTTAATACATTTCTGGCAGAATTGCCTTGTCATGTTCCAAGAGGATGCAGGGCTGGAGAGACCACATTCCAGTTCAAAATAAGTCAAAGCAGGGGCTGGGATCCGGGAAGTGAGACTGGGCAAAGTGCATTCCCAGTGCTTGATCTGTTGGGATGCACTCAGAGAGAGGTGCATGGATGCAAAGGAATCCCTTGTCCTCAAGCAGTGCACTGACAGGATGTTGCACAAACATTTAAAATGTGTGTCTGAATTTAATTGCCCTGCTTGCAGTTGTGTGAGGGAGAATGGTCACACACTGAGGGCTGACACTGGGAGTCATCACAAGTCAGGTTCAGCTCTCCCAGGATTTCTGCTTGGGAATAGCTGCAGTACTTGGGCAGAATATCCAAGTATGACAGAGACTAAAACCACACTAAAAATATAAGAGTATTTCATCAGGACACATGGAGGTGTTTAAGAACACTGATTTATAGAGACTGTGTTCTAGAGAAAGGGCTTAATATTTCGGTTTACTTTTTCTGCCTCCTTCTGTTTGACAGTACAATGAAAGGGTGACATGTGGAACTTGCTTAAACTCCAATACTGTGAAAAATGGGCAATTTTTTTATAACTGTCTCAAATACAGGTCTTACAGATCTAGTAAGTGTGGCAGGTCTTGTTTCTTCACTCTTAATCTCTCAATTTGTATGTGATATGACTACACCCCTGTCTTGGGCCCTTCAGACTCCTCCCTTTCTTGTCCCTCTGATGTGCTCTTTCCTGCATGTAAATTCAGCCTTAACATCTCAGTTCAAGTGATGTTTCATTGTCCTTGGGATGTTTGACCTTCTGAAATCCGTGGGCCTTCTAAAATGAGGGGCGGGAACTCACCTTGGCTTGGGAGTTGCTGGCGAGGCCAGCATTTGTTTTGGCTTCTGTGTGGGTTAAAGCCCAGCTTGTCGGGCAGTCCAGGCAGTCCCTCCTGCCCTAACGGTGGTGCTGGAGGCCAGGGCTCAGTCAGTGAAATGCAGCTTCACTTACTGGCTGTGACTGTGCAGTGTGGGGAGCACTGCAGCACTCGAAAACCATTTTACCGTTTAATTAAGGTACAATATCAAAGGGCTGTAATGTTTCCAGATAATATCTACTTGTTAGGCAGGTAACTGAAGCAGTGCCAAGGTTTTTAACATCTCTCCAAGAGCCCTTGATTACACGACTTGAGCTCTAGCACAGGGAATACCTGAGGAATATGTCACTGTTGTGTTCTGGGTCTGACGAGTGTGACAGGCAGAGCTCAGGGATTGGCACTTTGAGGTGTGTCAGCTGGTTCTCCCATGTGTCATTAAAACCAGTGCCCTGCTCTGGTACCTGCAGGGTGGTGCTGCCTTGTCTGCCAAAAGAGCAGTTTGTGTAGTAGAACCACTGCTGAAAGGGCAGCAGGATTTAACAACCTGGCTTCCTCCCCACACTCTGCCTCCTGCTGCTGCTGCTGGCTCTGCAGGACACTCACTGCAATTTATCATCTCCTGAGAGATGAGTGTCCTGAAATAGAATGACATAATCATAATTTCATTTTATGGGGCTTATCAGTTGCAGCATTCTAGGCACCTTGCAAGCCTAAAGCCATTAAACCTGATAAAAATCACATAAATTATTTAATCTAAACTGTGTTGCTGGGCTGCCAACCTCTGCAGATGAGACTTGGTGCTCAAGTGCCCCACACCCCAGGCTGAGGTCAGCCAGGCACCCAGATCCTCTTTCAGAGCCCTCCTCTCTCAGCACCTTTCCAGCTGGTGCATCCCTCATGCTGAACATCCCGCTGCACTCATGCACATCCTGCTTTCCCTGAGAGGCTGTGAATTCCACAGACAAGGGCTTGACAAGAAAACCAGTCCCTGCCATGTCTTTGCTGAAGTATCCCCAGGGATTAAATTAGCAGGCAAGCTGTTGCAAAGGATACTCCTCGGGGTAACCTGAGGTCAGAGCAGGCTCTGCCGTGCTCGCCCTGGACCACACGGAGCAGTTCCCAGCTCCATGGTGGTTCAGGCTTCTCACAGCCAGTTCTGTCAACCTCAGCCAAGCAGGAGATATTCTCAAAGTTGTTGTCTTAGTCAGGTCACGTGACTGGGAAAGAAGCAAAAGAAAATTCTGCTAAACTGATTTTTCACGAGTCTCAGAAACACTTTTTCTTTCTGTCTGCCCCAACACTTGTTATCCTTGGTGGCTGTACCTGCACTCAGGAACTGTTTTCTCTCTCTCTGATTGCCAGGTCACGCTGTCAGTCCAGTGTCTGCAGTCTAAACATGGATCTCCACAGATAAATCATATGTTCACAACCCTTCCCACCTTTGCACGAGGCTGAGAAAAGGGTTGGTGCAAGGAGGGAAATAAATCCATTTAGGAAGTAGTGCTGGCACTTGAGTTGTAGCTCAAACTATGAGTTCCTCCTGAGACTGCTAGCAGGCTTAGAAGGGAAGGAATCCCTGAAAGGAGATGTTGCCAACACTTTGTATCAAGAACAGGTATTTGATGTGGCGTGACTCAGGAGCTGCATGCAGGGAGGCAGAAATGGAGGACACACACAAAGACCCCCCGGTGCTGCTCTTGTCACTGCCTCTGGAGAAAGGGACCTGTGTGTCAGTTATGTTGATTTATTTTTTTTTTTCCAGCAGTTACACTGGGACTTGGAGAATTTTCCTGTGTAACGAAGACCTAGAGATTAGTCAAATAGAAATATCATTTGTTCTGCTGGTCCCTAAATGCACCAGTTAAGCCTGGTCTGAAAACTCTATTTATTCTTCCTCAGCATCCACTGCTCCTGTGTCCTGTTGGTTTCCTCTGACTGTCTGACAATTGCACAGCTGTTGTAATGAACGTGTTTCATCCCGTCTTACACAACAAAGCTTTTCCTGGTGCACCGTCAGTAATTCCCTCTCCTGTCTAATCCCAGGGACAGAGGCGTGGCCTCCAGGGGTTTGCCTGAAGTACGTGGGGGGCGACCAGTTTGGGCACGTGAACATGGTGATGGTGAGGTCCCTGGAGCCGCAGGAGATGGCCGATGTCAGCGTGCAGATGTGCAGCCCCAGCACTGCCGGCATGTACCAGGGCCAGTGGCGGATGTGCACTGCCACGGGACTCTACTACGGAGGTGAGTGGCCCCTTCCCAGCACTCCAGGCTCTCCCTGGCATTCCCAGTGCAGACAGCACGGGCACCACTGGCCCCTGCACTGATAACAGAGCAGGAGGGCAGAGCTCTGCCAGCCCCGGCCTAAATATAGAACATGGAATGCAGGAAAACATCAAGGGAGCTGCTTTGTTGTCTTGGTCAGCACAGAACTGTTTTCTAAACACTGGAGCGAATTACAGGTTACACAAAACTCTGGAAAACAAAGGGACTTGCACAGCTCTCCTGGAGGCTCTTTCCCAGTTGATCCTTGTCAGGATTCTTTCCCAGTTTGCCAGTGCTGAACACCGTGAACTGCATAGGAACATAAAATCTGTTACTGGTGAAAGCCTCCTGTGAGAAATGAATGCCCAGGTTTTAATGCAGTGATTTAGTGCATCCCCTGCAAGCCATTTCTCTGTTTAAAGAACACGTTTTGCTGTTTTGCCTCAGCCTGGGCCTCCAACGCCTGCCTTTGGTGCAGCCTTCCAGCCCTTTTCTGCCAACTTTAGTTCACACTGAGAACAGCTTTGTGTCTCTGGCAGTTTGGAGCATCCCAAGTTTCAGAGTTTGAGCGAGAGGTGTTGGCACTTGGAGGCACAAATCCCAGTGCCCAGAGGGAGGGGGCTGCTGGCAGCGCTGGCACTGCTGCACCTCCTGGGTGCAGAGGAGGGGAGGGATGGGGCAGGGGGACCCCGCGACAGGGGGACCCCGGGACGGGGGGACCCTGCGACAGGGCGTGCGGGGCCGCGCGCGGGCGGCAGAGGGCGCTGCGGGGCCGCTGCTCTGCAACCGCACCGGCACTGGGCTGTACTGGGATGTACTGGGGTGTGCTGGGGGGTCCCAGCCCTGGCAGGATGCAAGGGTCCCTAAGCAAGTCGTGTGTCCCTAAGGTACAACCCCGCTGTCCTTAATTCACTCCTAAAATTCAAACTGCTGAGCCTGCTAAACTGGGGGCACTGGAACCAGTATTGCTTTAAACTATTGGTCTTTTTCTTGCTGGTGTAAAGGATGGAATTCGTGTTCTGTTTTGCTCCTTCTGCCCCTTCTTCACGAACTCCGATGTAAGTGACAGCCCAAATGTGCCTCTTTTTCCACAGATGTCATCTGGGTGATCCTCAGCGTGGAAGTTGGAGGACTTCTGGGTGTCACACAGCAGCTGTCATCCTTTGAAACAGAGTTCAACACGCAGCCACATCGCAAGGTAGAAGGAAACTTTAACCCGTTCGCCTCTCCACAGAAGAACAGGCAACCAGATGAAAACAACCTAAAAGACCCTGGGGGTTCCGAGCTAGGCACAATCAGCAAAAACACATGGGGGCCTGCTCCTGACCAAATCGAACAAGATCAGAATGGACTGTCACAAAACTCTGTAAATCTCTCCCCCAGCAGTCACTCGAACAACTTGTCGGTAGTGACGTACAGTAAGGTAGGTGCCCTGGGGGAGCAGGAGAACGGGTAGGGGAGGAGCCAGGCAGGTGTGTGATTGCTCTTCCTTCCAAACTGCAAAGCCCTTTCCTTCTGCTTCTGCCAGACCTGCTAAGGAAGGTTCTGAATTTGACTGTCTGACTCTGCCAACTCCTCATGTTATATTAAAATATTTTTGCCTCTGATAGACTCTACCAGATCCACCTTTTTGTTTTCACTTCAAGTCCTTCTTTAAATTTATATAACCTTGTTTGGCTGCTGTAACTGCAAGTGGCTGGAGCCTGCTCCGGTCGTGTGCAAATAAGTCAAAATATCTCTCTAGATGTGTCCTGAGTTTGACATAATTTCGAACAGAGAACAAATATCCACACCCCCAAACTTCAGATTAACCAGATAACTTCTTTTTAACTGATGCGGGGGAGAGCTCACCATTTGATCCCAGAAGCTGCCTGTCAGGAACAGTCAATCAAAGGACTGTTCCTGTCTATGTCCTTGTCTTGTTTATAATTGTAGGTGACTTTTAAATTATCTTTACTTTAAATCTCTCTCAAAAGCTTGCTTGGTGGATGCTATATGAGTCTGAGTGATATTTTGACTGTTTTTATTTGCTTGTGTGTGAAAAATTAATTGCAGGATTATTTACAATTCAGAATCCACCTGTTAATGCAGCAGTATGTGTAGGTGTGTACTGTCGTATGTCAAACTAGTTTGATTTTTAAAATCCTTTAAAAATGCTTTACTGTACTTTGAGCAGGCTGTGTAGGACAATAACACTTGGTTGCTGAATGACTTAATAAAGCCCTACTGTTAGTTCACCTACAGCACTTTAGTTCCTCCCTGGATGACCTGCCTGTCCTCTGCCAGTGGACCATGTTTTAGTGACCTTTGCACCAGGGCTGTGCCAACCTGCCACCCTCCTGTGCTCTGCTCCCAAGCACCACGGCTGGGCTGGCTGCTGCTGCACGACTCTGCTCACTGACAGTGGAGTTGTTTGCTTGGAAGTGATTCTGCTGTCAGTGGAACACCCCCCGAGTTAGCAGTGCTGCCAGTGGGGCCTGGTGCTCCCCGGGGCTGGGGCTGGGTGAGGAACCAGAGCCCCTGGGAGCTGCAGCTGTGCTGGGGGAGAGAGACCAACAGGAGAGTGAAGCCCCACCTGGGAGGTGTCACTAGGTTGAAGTGAGCTGGTTACCTGGTGACCCAGAGCTCAGGATCCTTGCTCTGGGCAGTCACAATCTAACCCCACACGGAGGGCAGGTGACCTTTCCTCCCCTTTTTTGTTGTTGTTTTGTTTTGGGGTTGGTTTTTGTTTGTTTCTTTTTGTATTTACAGAATATTCTTGGGTGGATTTGAGGTGGATAATCCAAGATTAAAGCAGATGTTTTGTTTGCTTGTTTCAGAAGGGATAATTTTATGGTCCTTTTTGGTCGGGTCCGTGTGAAAGTTCATTGATTTTGGAGGTTTCTTTGTCTCTGCTGCAGTGTTTCTGTTTGTGACACAGTAGAACAAGGTAGCTTCTCCTCTGGAGGCTGTTCAGGTAGGCCTGAAGATCAGAGTCCTGTTCCAGCCTTGCCCATCCTGCCCAGAGCAAGAGGCTTTCTGCCACTGACCCAATATTCATATTGATACGGTTCTGGTTCTGTAGTGAACAAGTTTGAGGGAGTTGGACATCCCAGACATTTATTTCTCTTGGGCAGGACCTGTGATATTTTAGTCCCCAGGGAATGAGGGAATCCCTGGTCGTGTTTGAGGGGCTGTTTGGTGAGATGTGCAAAGGGGATGGGTGAGGTCTGGTGAGGTGTTCAGAAGGGCCTGGGTCGTGTAGTTAGAAGTAAAATAAGCCCTTAGATATTTCTCGGATCCCTGTGGAGGATTCCTGTGCTGAGAGGCTGTTGGGGAACCCAGCCATGCAGTGCACAAGACCATGAAATCTTTGAGATAAGATGAGCAGTTTCTGGCATCTGCAGCTGTAAAACATGCTCGAAGTTGCCAGACCTTGTCGGAATTAGCTCTCCCTCTGGTGCACTGAGCAGGTGTGGCTTGTCCTCTAAAATTCCCTGTTGGAGTCAGGATCTTGGTGATGCTGATGTGCCATCTGCTGCTGGGTTAGACAAGTACAGCAGCATTTCACACCTGGAGACATTCAAAATGCTTTGATACAGCAGCAGAGAGGATGTGATGTGGGTGCTCTGCTCAGTGGAACAAACTTTCCTAGGGAGAACCAAACAAAACCATATACAGAATTCCCTATCAGTGGATGAGATGAAACCTGTGGGTGGTTGAAACAAATGGTGCCCTTTATTCCTGCTGTGGTGAGCACCTTCCTGGGCCCCCTGCCTGCCTTCCCCATGCACTGTGGGGAGGCTGCAGGCCAGGGCCTGCCTGGGCTTTGCTTGAAGCATGTTGTTGTTGTTAAATCTATTCCCAGTGGGGTTTTTGCATGTTCTTAGATGTAAAGATGTGCTTAAGTGCAGGATAGGATGCTTCTCTCGGGGTAGGGATGAGCTGCACTGGATCCCAGATATCCCCATGCACGGGTGTTTTATTCTCTGGCAGTCGCTTTCTCTGAGAGCTGAGGCTGATACAGCTTCCTCCTATTTACTCCTCCTGTCTCATAGCAACCCTGCACAGTCACTGGTGCTCTCTTGTGACTGGCTTTTCCATTAAAAGCCCAAGATCCAGTCTTACAGTGCCTGGGAATTAGTTTAATTGCTTAACCGAGGGAAGAAACGTACAGGTTTCCATGTCTGTATGGATCAGAAGTGAATAGCCATATCCTGACGTTTAGATTGTACTTATCTCTATATAAAATCCATAGATCTGTATCTAAATCTGGTGTCCAGATGAATCGAGGAGTTACTGCTCCCTGTGCCATGCAGAAAACTGCACATGGAAGTTGTGATTCTGCAAAGATTTGCCTAGACAGGACACTGGGCATTGTCTCCACCACAGCAAATGGTGCCTGACTGCCCTGATCCTGACTTGTGTTGCTCTTCAAACCCCAGTGAAATAGAAACATATTGGAGATCAGAGCATTAAAATCTGAACTCCTTTTTTCCTGCTGTGTTTATGCTCCCCATCTCCCTCCATTCTGTGTGGAGCTGAGCTCTAATCCATGCTACCTGGCAGCTTTCTGTACATAAGGGGAAACCAACCCTGTGTCCTTGGAGCCTTTAACTGGCTTCCCCTCCCTGTGCTTAAATGTTGCTGTGGCTTCCAGAGGCTTCTCCCAAACCAGGACCTCCAGTTTGCAGATTTTTGGAGTACCTGTGTAAACTTTAAGACAGATTTTTTTTCACTGGAAACTGGTCATCAGGCTGTCTTTGTGGGTGAGGACAATCCCCCATAAATGTTTGCATCCATGGAGGAGAGCAGCTCCTTCCCTCGTGGTGTGTGGGTCACCACGTGGCTCCGTTCATTTGGACACAGTGAGGGAATACTGGACTGGGAGCTGCCATGGCTGCACCTGCAGCTGTGGTGGCATGAGCTGGTTTGCTTCTCTGGTGAGAGACTGGGGTGTTTGGGTGCTGCCTGTCAGCTCACCCGTGATACTCAGCTGTCTGTGTGCTTCCAGACTGTGGGAAGTGCCCAACAGTCTGATTTGAGCTAAACTTTGCTCCACTGCAGCCCAGCAGCACATCAGTGAGCTGTGTGTGGAACTCAGGGAGGTACCTGAGCCCTGTCACCTCCTCACCTGTGGGCACCTGAACCAGCCCTGCCCATGCCTGCTCCAACAGGGTTCTGAACTTCCCGGGGGTCTCCCTGCCATGTTTGCACTGCATGCATGGAATAAACTCGAGTGCTGGGTGCTCTGCTCTCTTTTGTGCTGCTTGACGTCAGTGAGGTGAGAGCAGTGGGGCAGGAGTGGCCTGAGGGGCTGGGACTGGGCAGCCACTGTCAGTGTGCTCTGGGAAACTCCTGTATTGCTGTGCATCCACCTCCTTCCCTGGAAGTGTACCTGCACTGCTGGTGACTCACTCACAGAGGTGAAATAAAGAGCTGTCTGAAAGCCTGTGTGTGATGGTTTATGAAAGATTCACTTAACCCTCACTTTGTTCCCGGCACAGGTGACTCCATTACAGAGCTCAGTATTCACAAAGGCTTTAACTCCCCAAAACATCTCACCTCCCTTCTAGATGCACAAGTCAAATGATAATTTATACCAGTAGTTGTCGTGCAGAGTCTTTTCTTGGAAAATCATGGTCCTGTGTTCTCACACACTGGTCTGTGTGAAGAGCCTGGTGCTCCCACCAGCAAGTGAGCAATTACTTCTGGGGAACATTCTGGAAGAACTGAAAGTGAATTTGCAAAGCTGCAGCTGAGCTTTTCATAAAGACAGTGATCCCACTTGGAGAATAGACGGGAATGCACCAAAAATAGTGGGAATAATCCTTCCATTGAAACAACTTGGAAAAACTGCAATTGTCTGCAGAATTATTTTTGCATGTTTGTTATGTAAAATGCTGCATAGAGGGGATAATTAGTCTCGAAAATGTCATAGCAGGGTTTGGTATTTACGTTGCAGCAGTAACTGAAGTTTTCTGGTATCAAACCCTTGTGCTGTGCACGGTGAATAAATGTGGTGGGACACTGGCTCTGCAGAGCCTGGGCCTGGCTGAGCAGGGGACAGGGTGTGTCGGGGAGGGGGAGCTGCTAAACCAGGGTCTGTGCTAAACCAGCTCTCACTTGGCTTACAGAGGCACAAGTGGTGTTTGATTTCGTGTGTTCTCGTGTGCATAATGAATCTGGGGTAGGTGAAGTGCCTGAAGAGTGGCAATCCCCAGAGAAAACGTTTGGGGCTTTTTCCTGGTGAAATTCCTTACGTCAGGAGGAGCTGAGCGTGGTCATGGATTCTGGGACTGCTCCTGGCATTGCCCAAGGAGCTCATTCCGGGGTGTTGGGTGTTCAGGGCAGTGGGGCAGAGCTGTACATACTGAGGAATCTGCCACACTGAAGGTGAGCTAAATTCTGGGTTTAATTGACACAGGATTAGATCATTGTGTAGCTTTGAATTACGTGCTACAGGAACCAGTACCTGAAGATCCAGAGGGTTTCCCTGCAGAGAGGTCCCTCCATCCAAACCCAGTGAGGAGCTGCTCTGCTGGGCTGGACTGAGGGGTGGTGACTGGCACTTCTGTGCACCACAGGGGAGCAGGGCCTCGTGGCACCCCCAGGTTAAAGCAGGGCGGTGTTGCGTGGAACGTCCCCTGTGGGGTGACACGGGGTGGGTAACGGGGTGAGGGGCACCCTGGGTGTTCCTGGCAGGGGGGCAGGGGATGGTTAAACCCCTCCCCAGTGCTCGCCAGGCAGTGCCTCAAACAAAGCCTTGTGTACAGGTAGCTCAAAGATGAAGCAAATTCTGGCAAATGTGTCTGTACAGGAAATCAGCAGCAAATCCTGTGTTCCTTCTGCAGAGCAATAAGTACAATGGCTTAATCCCTGTGAGGTGAGACTGCTTGGGATCCTGCTCCTATGTTGCTTTCCTTCTGTGTCCTTTTCTTGTGCAATTGTTCACACCATCTTAATGTTTCTCTGCTGCTCCTCCCCTTCCCCCTGTTTCTGTGACTATTTTTCAGAAGTGTTGGGTAGCTCAGCCTGGATTTTGTTGGGAGTGTCTCCTTCCTGAGGTGAACTGTCATGCTGGAATCTGCTGGCTGTTCTCTTTTGAAAAGCTTTACAAACTGGGCCTGCAGCATATTCCCGGGGTAGAAGCGTGTTTGTTTTTCCATCACTTGCATGTATTTCTGTCTGCAAACAGCAATTTCCACATTCCCAGTCTTTCATACTTCCCACACAGTTCAGGAGATGTCCTGGTTAATTGTCTGCTCATCCTCCTCTTTGTTGAATTCTGAGAGCTGCTTCATTTTACCACTCACTTGTATTTAGCACCTGATGTATCCCAAAGAATGAACTTTTTCTCTCCAGCTGTAGCAAGATCCCAGACTGCTCCTGGTGCTTCCTTCCTCGTGCAGCTCTGCAGCAGAGCTCTCCAGCCTGGGCTTTGCTGGGGACATTGACATTTTTATATGATCCGTGTTCAGACTCGTGGCTCCAGGCCCTGGCTCCTGCAGTGAGGGGGTTGTGGAATTGTGGGAGAACATGCAGAGAAAGGTGTTTCCCTTGAAACTTGCCCTGTTAAAGGCAGGGTGGTGAAAACTGTGGTCAGAGCTTCATGTACAACCTGAGCAGGAATGGCTTTGGCTCTCTGTGCTCTCAGCTGCCCTGCTGTGTGCTGGGAAGAGCTGGACTGTGTTTAGAAGCATTTGCATAATGGTTCACCAACTGATGATGAGACATAACGAGCTTTTCTCCCTCCTCTGCCTCCTGACCACAGTGTGTGTCAGGTCTTACAGGAGGGTTTCGGGAGGGGATTTACCTTCATCGCTGACAAACTTCATCTTCCTGTGAGCTGGGGGATCTCTCATGCTGCCTGTGGTTCTTTCTTTTGCTTCCTGATGAAACCCCAGATAGCTGATCCAAACAATAGAAGTTACAAAAGGAGTGCATGTTAATTCGAGACCCGTGACTAGATCTGACATTTTAGGTGACTCACTTCAGGATGTAAAGGAGGGAAATGGATTCTGTAGGAAGCATTTTGGGTTTTTGGTAAATGTTGTGGTTGATTTCACCGAAGGCAAATGTGTATTGTTACCTTGAGAGAGCACAGATGGCAGTTGTGGGATCATGGGTTTCCAAATCTTCACTTTTTTTCTGAAATAGCCTCTTACCCAGTTCCAGCCCTGTAACTGCTGTGGTCTCTGGGACAGACTGGGGAGGCTGCAGGGGCTGGGCCTGCAGCTGTTGTAGCATCTGTAGGGGATTCTGGTGTAGGAAACACCAGTTATTTTGTGGCCTTGGCCTAAAAAACACCTGAGAGAGGTAAGTGATGGCATTTGCCCTCTCTGGGGAAAGCAGCCCTGGAAGTGTCTGTGAGGCTGGACAGGCACAGGCACGGTGGGGGAGAGGGGCTGCTTTTGGGGGGAAGCCAGGGCTGGGCAGGATTTGGAGTGAGCACTGAGCCCTCTGTTTGTTGCCTGTTGAATTGATCATGTCTCCAACTTTCTTTCAGGGTTTCCACGGTCCTTATCCCTTCGGACAGTCTTAAAACACAAAAACACAAAACGGGTATCGACAAGAGGAGAATTTAAGAGAAAACTGACTTTTGGGGGAAGGGAGGGGGTTCATGTGGCAGACAGACACAGCGTGGACCCCCCTCCTCTGCCTCCGTGTTCTGGATAAAGAAGAAAAAACAAAAACCCAGTAACTTAAGACTAGATGTTTCCAGAGGAAAATCCAAAACCTGAGTATGCATGTGTGACTGCTGGATTTCAGAGTGGTGTAAATGCTATGAGGAAGAAGAGACACCAACACTATGGGTTTTTAGAAATCATCCTCACGTGTAATTAGGTAGCTTAAAAAGAAGTTTAAAAATGAAAATTTAAAAGCCATCTTTAAAAAAGAATATTTTGCCTACAGAGCGGTTGTAGTTTGAGCAAATGTTTAATTTCTGTTTGTTTCTTGTTGATATTTTTTTCCTGAGGGACAGCGTGCATTTTCCCAGAATGTCCTGGTTTGCTGGCCCGGCGCCCGCCGGGGTTTGTGCAGGGGCTGCTCCTGTCAGGCCTTTTTAATGCCAGGTGGGGTCTGCCCCCAGCACTGCGTTTTTAATGGCATCTGCTGGTTTTAGTTACCGACTTTTTAATCTTTTAACTCTTCTTTTCCTTTTGGTTTGGGTGTTGCTGTTCGTTGTCCTGCGTGTTGTTGGGAACCACGCCGAGGCCAGGTCTTGGTATCAGAGTTGGAAATGGACACTCTGGGACTTCTGGGATGATGTGGAGGCCTTGTCTCCCTTCCCCTGGTACGTGAGGTACACAAATACACCCCCATGTTAATAAGAATCCAATTTATTCAAGTTCCCAAGCTGTCCTGTGTGGTTAGCAGTTTGAAATCCCTTTTTGTTCACTCTCGATGTGCAGTAGCTGTGCCCAGAGCCACCACGCCAGCGCCGTGTGCCAAGGGGAGTCTCTGTAGCTGTAATTCACCTGGTGGTAGTTGCAAAGCTTTACAGACATCCTGTCCTTTCCATTTGGGGTCTCCTCTCTCTCTTACAGAGCATAAGTTTGCATTTGTTTCTCCTGTGCTGAGGTGTGAGCTTAGAGGCTGATCCCAGTGTTCTGGAGCTCAGAGCAGGAGTTGGCACCACCAGCTGGGTCCTTCTGTCGCCTCATCTTCATCTGCCTTTGACTGGGCTCTCCAGGACTTGTGGTAGGGGAGGGATCATAAAAGATTTGGGTAGCTCTGCTGTTCCTCCAGTGTGTGTTCCTCCAGTTCTGGATTGGGAAGTGTGGTGTGAGGGGAGGGAGCTCGGCCTCGAGCTGTGGGGGGTTTGTTGTGAAGTGCTGTCCCACAGACCCTGCTGAGGACTGTCCTGCCCAATAAACCAGGCTGGAACAGCCATCTGCCAAAGATACAGGAATATGCAAAGCTCCCACTACCTTCTTCCAGATCTTTCCACTGGAAGTTTTTCCCAGTGTTGGAGTTGCAGGTTCAGCTCTGCCCTCACTGCTCTTGGCTGTTTGTGTTTTAGAGGTTGGTTTTGAATGGGGGAATCCTTCGTTGCAGCTGCCAAGTACTGTTACCTGAATGCAGATGGATGGACCTCGTGGGGACAGTGGGAGTTCCTTGTGTCCAACAGAGGAAGAATTGAGTGATAGATGTTTATGTTTCACAGGTTCAGTTGTTAAAGATCACCGTTACCTGAAATCTCCCTTCTCCCACCTGCCAGAAATCTGTTTGCTGAGAGAAACAAGTGTAATATAAAAAATTACCTGCATAGAAGTGGCACTTGAGGATTTGGGCTGCCTGACACTTGCTCTTGCAGTCTGGTGGGCACCTGGCTCTGCCCTGGCAGCCGCTGGGGCCGGGGGAGTGTTGGGGGCTGCACTGCTCTGTGTGCTTGGGTTTGTCCCATAACAACATTTTGCCTTGGATTAGTTACCCCCTGAGCAGTGATCTGGGGAATGATCTGCAGCCTCACAGTGTGGTGTGGGCAGGTGGAGTCTTTCCTCACTGCCTCTTTTCCTCCCATTGCCTCGTGTGAGCCCCTCTGAGGGCATGAACATCCCTGCCCATCACACCTCCTGCAGCACTGCTGCTCCCCTTCTGAGGGCACTGAAGGCTGGGGTTGGTTCAAGTGACGAGGTGATTCCCTGTCTGTATTGGGTCCTCGTGTCAGCTGCACAGTGGAAGGGAGGGGAAACCAAGCTCTGAGTGTGTGACCTTTGCCTGGTGGCAGTGGAGGCACGTGGGAGACCCTCGGACACCCCGCACTGGCTTTCTGCTCCCAGACACGTGTGCTTCTCCCATGTCCCATGGCTGCCACACTCGTGTTCCTGTGCTCCTCCTGAGGCTGAATTTCCCTTGTCTTGAAAAAACCAAACCTGCATGCACCCCATGCATTCTGCACAGGCTGTTTCTCTGCCTCTTGCGTGTTTGCAGTCCGTGGTGTCCTGGGGACAAGGGTCACATGCTCCAGGGTGTGAGGAAAGGCAGGGCCAGAGCCAGCTTGCTCTGAGATCTGCAGCTCTTGCTGCTCCCATCCCCTCTGCCCGTTTGCTGAGGGCTCCATGAAGCACTGGCCCATTGGGGTCGGGGTTGTGGCCCCGGCTGTGGCAGTGGAAGGATGTTTCAGTCAGGGGTTGCTCTGCCTCTGGGTTTTTCCTAGAGTAAAAATTGTTTCGCTGAGGCCAAAGGTGGTTTTATCTCCTGGTTCCTTGGAGCTTTGTGGTGCAACCAGACCTCAGATTGCTCGTGCTTTCAGGTGTCCAGTTTTTAAATGGGGATTTAAGATGAATTTGGCAAAGCTCTGCCCAGGTGACCTCGGCACACTGGGGTTGTGTAGGTTCCCATAGGGAAAAGGATAATACAGAACACTTCTGATGGCCTCTAAGGGGGTCCCTGTGGCAAGTGAGAGCCACTTGGGCCCTGTCACTAACACAGCTCAAGCAGTGGCACCTCTCAGCCTTGGCAAACTGGAGCAGGGTGTCCCCGGGACTGGCCCCGAGCTGGCAGTGCCACGGGAGGGGTGAGGGAGCAGGAATCTGCTGCTCACCCCTCGGGAATGTGGGATTGGGGCCCGCCAGGGTCTGGGAGCTGGGCAGAGCCGTGGGTGGGAGCAGTGGGTGGGTGGGAAATGCACGCTGTCCCACGTCTGGGTTCTGTTGTGTTTCTTTTTTCCGTGTGTGAGTGCGTGGGTGGTTCCCAGCCTGTCTGTGCTCGCCGGGGCAGTGCATGTGTAGCACGGGATGGTGTGTTGCCTCTCTGAGTCTGGGAGAAGTCCTATGATAGCACATTGGGGTGAAAATAAAGGAAGCTTTTTCCTTAATGTATAAATGAATATTTGTATGATTAAATTAACACAGAAAAAAATGCTCTGTAGCTGTTGAGAGTTTTATTGAAGCTACAAAACTCCTGAGTCTGTCACCTTGTAGTGAAACGTACCCAGTTTGCTCCATCCCCAGACACTGAGCATCCTTAAACCCAGCTCCAACCCTGATTTACCCCAAATCACCGTGAAACCAAACCAGATTCGGTGCATATTGAGGTTGTCAGACCACCTTTCCAGCCCTCAGGTGGGGGTGAGGGTGGGAAGAGGCTGTGGGGGTTCCTGTGAGGGGGGTAGAGTTGGGAGGGGGCTCCTGCAGCCTCTGATCAGGAGGAGGATCCCCCCGGGGCTGCAGCGGGTGCCAGCACAGCCCATTCACCAACCTGGCCGTGGGTTCCCTCGTGACAAGGTCAGGTCACTTCTCCATGACAATCCCTGAGGAGGAGTGGGATGGTTTCAGTGATCTCCACACGAAGTGATGCCGCAGATGCGGCCCCAGATGCTCCTTGTGTGGCTGATCTGCATCCCAGCCCTTCCCTGGGCCCTTCCCTCGGGGCCTGCTGCAGGACCCTGTGATGCTTCACACTCCAAACGGCCCAGACTAGAGGGGTCAGACCTGCTGTCTCCTGAATCGCTGGGGAAGGCAGGAGAGGGAGGAAGGAAGGAAGTTTGGATCTGTTTTTTCTATTCTCACAATCCCTGAGGGAACACCTGGTGCTCCTGTTTGTCAGCATGGGGGCATGTGAAGGTCTCGCTCTGCTGGGCATCCTGCGTGGTCATTTTGGGTGGATCCAAGTTCCCAGGTAAAGCTTTGCTGCTCAGGGCACTCAGCCCAAGAATTGCCTGGATGAATTGTGCCGTGGAGCAGCTCAGCTGAGGCCGTTCCTTTGCTTACCTGGGAGTTTGTTACTAATCCCTGCGAGAAACCTCAATCTGTGTGTTCTGGGTTTGCTTTTGCCATTTGAATAAATGCCTGGAGCTTTCATGTGGCATTAAGCTTGACTGAAAGCCTGACTGGGAACAGACATCCTGCTCCCTGTGCCTGTGGGTGTTTGTTTTGTGCCCTGAGCAGAACGCGCCCCTCGAGCTCTGGGTGCTCGTGGGCGTCCCGAGGCCGCTGTGTTTGGGCAGGGGAGGATTGCCCGCCCCTGCTGCTGCCCAGCTTTGCATTTACCCCGTGTTTGCTTGAAAGAATCTGTTTGTCTTTAGGGCTGCAACCTGTCAGAGGTTGCCAGCGCAGGAAAATCCCATCACACCTTCAATGGTATCTCCTGAGCGGGCAAATACCCGGCGGGATCACCGTGGTCATCCCACAGCTCCATCCTGGGCAGGAGCCAAGTCACACGGCTGCCCAGGCACCTGGAGCTGCTCGGGTGCTGCTGCTGCTGCTGCTTTGGGTTTTTTAGGGGAACCAGGTCATTGTCCATTAGAAGTTACAATTCTGGTTTTCTGTGGGTGTTTTTGGTCCCTGAAGAGGTGTGGCGGAGGCAGGAGGCCGTTCCCTGCTCTGTGTGATGGATTGCAGGGACGAGGCTGGGCCCCTCTGGCTGGAGGGAAGGGCAGGGTCTGCTCCAACACCTCCACAGCACCATTGCACGTCCTCACATCTGCAGGTGGGGGCCCAAAGGCTCCAGTGGGCACCACCAATCTGGGATCAGCACCTGGAACAGCAGCAGAGAGGAAAAGGGCAGGGTTTTGTGATTTTTGTTTATTTTTCTCTCTTCTACCTGTGGCAGCAGCCCATGGTGTGCTGTGTGATGCCGAGGGAGGATCTGTACTCACTCCTTCCCTCTGCTCCTGCTTCTCTGCAGATCCCTGGGGATGCACAGGGGAATGTTAACAGGCCAGGGGGGGGAAATGAGGCCAAGCCAGTGGGGAGATGCTG